GGTGGGCTGAAGTGGCCGCTTCCAAATCGGCTCGTCCAGGCTCTGGTGTGAAAACCAGATAGTCACTTAGGTACTCGGCTGGGGTACGCGGGAAAGATGCGCGCTGATGGCGGCCGCTGAGAGCCGGACCCCCCTCCTCTGTGTGTGTGCGAGCGTGCGTGCGTGAGCGAGAGAGGCTGCTCCGTGTGTGCCTGTCGTTTGCTACCTAACAGATGTAATATCGTAATTCTAAGCCTTTTCACAGGTGTTCAGAAAACACGGTGGGAATCTCTGACACTATTCCTGACACAAAATACTCGCTGCTTTCCAAGGACCTTCCTGGAAGCGAGAGGCAGAGCCAGCCCGGCTTGCAAGTGCTTTGTAACTGATTGCAGCAGGGAGAAGCAGCTAGCTTGCCCTTGGGTGGGCCAGACCTCGAGATCTGTCTGTGTTTTTATGCTGGAGTGGGATAACTTCCACACCAGCTCTGCTCGAGCCCTTCCCAGCCGGCTGTGAGGTTGGGCTTCCCCCGGTGCTCTCTCCGCCAGCGCGGTGAGTACTGGTGTGCTCCGAAGCAGAGGTTGTTCCCAACTCTGTCTGGTTCAGGTGCTCACAGCTCACCGGGGAGCAAAAACCTCTTTACTGCTGCTGCTTCTGTCCAGCACAGGAGCCTTTCCCAGCCTGTGCGCTGTCTCACCGAGGGCGTGAAGGTTCTGGTAGCTCCCCAGAGTTCAATGCCTGGGTATTATCTGTGCTTTTGAAGTGAACTGGGCTGACGCGACGTCTCGGGCTGCTGCTGCTTTGGGGGCATGTGCCTTGGCTCTCTGAAACACTGGGGCTCGGCAGCCTCCTGTATCCCCGGCCTCTCCCGCGGTGCCCGGGGGAGCGGGGCAGTTATTTGGGGTGCTACGGGCTCCAGCCTTCCTCACATCCCCCTTCTCAGGAAACACTAGGTAACAGTGGGAGCGACAAGTTAGTGTTAATGGAAACAGGATTTGCTTTGCTCAGCACTTTACCCTATGAATCCTGCCTGTATCCCTGTAAGTTATTTATAAGGAAAGATTACTAATGGACTAGAATAAGGCAAATGCTTGTGGGGTTTGATGGAAACAATTCCGTATCTGTGGTTAATTACAGTAATAAAATTTGATGAATTGCACGTGGGGTCACAGCAGTGGTTGCTTTCAGAAATGACGGGGCATCCAGCTGACTGACACTTGCTATCGATCTTTTTATGCCCTCCTGGCATCCTTACACCATCTTCCTCTTGATTTTGTCAATAAAACCTTTCACCCTCTCGCAGGACCATCTTCTTCAAACTCATCTTTCCTGCTCTCTTGTTTTCATCTTTCCTAAGGGGCCTATTTGCGTGGGGCTCTTCTGCATCAGCCCGTCTTTCCCCTCCTCTGGCACCGTCCAGTGTTTTCCCTCCCCAGCTGGAAAGTAGATGGTCTAAGGAAAGGCACTGGTAGCGTTGGAAGGAAGAGAACAAGATGTAATTACTAGAAAAAAAACAATTTTATTACAACAGTTATTGCTTATTAAATATCTCAGACTTGTTGTCAGTATTTCTACCCTCCCTGTGCTCCTCGCATCCGTGCTTTGCTTTATGCATCTGCCCAAATCTCGCGCCATCCCACACAAACACAGCCAAGCGCGTGTCTTCGCAGCTCCCCGGGAACCCGGCAGACGCGGGTCTCGCAGTCTTTCTCACGAAGCTCGGCACCCCGCTATCGGAGCGCCTGGCAGACAGCAGCCGATTTCGCTTTCGGCCTGGCCTGGGTGGGAGGAGGAGCGTGGTTATCCCGGTTTTCAGAGATGGAGGAGCCGGCAAACCCCCTCTGAACGGCCTTGAGCGTGGCTCTCAGTGGGGGTATGAAGCCTGCTGCAACGCAGCTGCCTCTTAGACTCATACAAATAGCTTAAAAAAAAACCCCACCTCGCACTCTCCCACGAGGGAGGCTCAAAAGCAAGAGGAAGCTTTCTCGGAAAGGTGCTCGGGTACCGGGGCGCAGCCGAAGCCGAGCTAGGCTGGGGTAGAGCTGAGCGATGCGTGCCTGGTGCCCGGTATGAGCAGGTACGGAGGAGCACGGGTGGGTTTGGCTCCGAGTCTGGCAGGGACTGGGGGGGACCCAGCCCCGGAGGTCTCCCATCACGCTTGGGGGGGATGCGGGCAGGCTTTTTCTTCCGAGGTGAGCAGCGCAGGTATTTGTCATCTCTTCTGTCAGCTTCGTTCAGTTCGTCATTGCATAGAATCACGGAAGGGTTTGGGTTGGAAAGGACCTTCAAAGAT